GGCAAGGGAAACTAGATAAATATTTAAGCTACATGGATGATTTAACCTGTAAACGGCAATTTCCCTCCCTTGCTTCTTTCACAGCTGCTTTTCTTCTGAAATACTGAACGTGTCCGTTTCATTGTCTCGGCTTTTTGGAGAGAAAGATCACCGAAGTGGATGTTTAAAAATAATGGGTGGTTTCAGATCTTGGCTACTGGGAAACAGCCAAGCTTCCTAAGTACTCCTTGGAAAATAAGCAAAAGCAGAGGAAATCCGACAGCTGGACAGACAGCTCAAGGAGTAGAAGATAGTCTAGTTTTCAAAAGTATCCATTTTTGGTCAAATCCAAAATGCTCCAAGAGGAGCGGGAGTGCAGCTCAGATACTTCCAGGCCAGGCAACGCTTCCTGCTTGGCTTCTGGGCCGTAAACAATGTGCAAGGCCTCTTAGCTGCTTTCTAGTCCACAAGAGTTCAGAAGTACAAAGTAAAAAATTAAACAAGTCTCTTTGTAAAGACTTAAATAGTTTTTCTTTGGATACAGTTGTCCTAGATGGTTGACAAAAGCAGGGAAAAGGCTTCCAAGCGTGCATAGAAAGAGTGGAACAGGATCACCTTCTCCAACTGATAGTTGTAAAAGATACAAAGATGTGTGGGGTCAGCAGTAATGTTTGAAGTAGGAAAACTAACAGAAAGAAACATGACAACCTTAAATTTTCTATGCAACACCAAGCAACAGACCTTTACAGATGCATCAGAATGCGTAGCCAGGTTGCATTTTCCTTGATAAAGCTTCAGATTACAGCTTTGTTTTCCTGGTTACTCTACCCAGGATTTGTTTACCAGTTACTCGGGAGATCAGAGACTGCATGTACAGTTAATATACTGGTAAAGTTAACATATACAGGTAAAATGTTTTCAGTAACAAACACCTGTGAACAGAATAGTTAGGTTCCAAGGCACAGAAGCTGAGATGGTTGAATTTAAACTTTTTTTTAATTATTTTTGTTAAACCATAAAAAAGACTACTTGTAAAAATACACAAGCATTCAAAGTAATAAAATGAAAGGTGGTTATGGTTTTGGCATCATTTAATTGAAGCTGCTGTTCCCAGTAGCTCATACATTGCATGGAAATCATAAGTTATAAAAAAATGAGAGGAAGTGGAAAGAGTTACTATTCAAACAGAAATAAAACACTTCAGGCTATGCAAGCATCAGCAACTCCCCAGCCCTGAATTTGAGTCTCCCACACATTAGGAACAACAACAAGAGTTCTGCTTTAATGATGTAGATTTGTGCAACTTTTTGCAATATGCAAGATGTCCTTTCTCTTGGGTTTTCCTTTTTATGTTAACTCTTTTAGAAGTAGCTTTAAGCTATTTGATTAAAAATATGTTTCCCTAGTACGTATGTTTTCTGTCTTGCTGTTTACAATGCTGCTCTGGAAGACAAGCTTGTGACTTGATTGTATTATGGAGTTTTGTAACATGGAAGAAATTCTTTTTAAGACTTTAAACTTTTTATTATACTGAAAGTCTAGTAATGGTCATAACCAACTTTTCTTCCGTCTGTGGGTTCATATGTAAGCATATACTTATTTGAGAGGGAAACTATGAAAAACACTCAAAACCAGACTTAAGGTCATTCCCTCCTTTCTTCATTCCTTACTGTAATACACAAAGAGAGTTGGGGTGGAACATGATCTGTAGCAATATAAAATTTATTTTACAGGCTCAGGCTTAGTGTATTTGCTTTTCTACTGTTACGTCCAAGGGCGCACTGTCAGCATAAAATTCACATTTCTTTCTGATTTTTTCCTTAGCTATTTTTTGCTACACTTAATTTTTAAGCTTAGAATAACTAGGGGAGGGGGACGGGGGGACACCAAAACAACATGCCAACACTATTACTAGAGGGAAAACAAATTTCTCAATTGTGCTGCTGTTTACTTTGTGTAATGTGTTTCTCTGTTTCCTTTCTGGAAGTAGAGGTGGTTCTGTGTTTTGTGAACAACCCAGGCAAACTGCATTACTGGAACTGGGAAAATGTGGCTGTCAACCTTGCAGCTCTGCCCAGGGTGGGCAATACTGGGTATTACTACAATCAGCCTTGAAAAAAATACTAGGTTTTGAGCTGATAATACTTTTCAGAAAGTATCTTAATTGAGGGAGGTTTGATGCATCTGTTCTTTAATATGAAAGTGACCTTTAAAGCCTGCTAAAATTCCCAAATGTCATTTTATTTTGTTGTTGCTTCTGGATTTGCATCAAGCTCTAAAACAAGTTTTACAACTGTTGTGAAAACTCTAAGCGTGTGCTAGTTATCAGCTGCTGTGTATTGTAGGGGTAAGAACCTCTGTTAAATCTCACTTCCTTTTTGTTTGATGCTAGAAGTAGCAAACCTAATAAGCCTTGGTTTTAGTTTGGCTTTGCTATTTTAAGCTCACATTCAAAAGAAATATGAGTACATGTAAGAACAGCAGACTTCATGAAAATGAGTAAATGTGTTTTCCTTGACACCTGCTTCTCTACTTTCGAGGCAAAACTTGGAGTTGCTGATTGTCTTCTAATGAAGGATCAGGTTACAGCCTTATCAGAAAGTACACAAAAATGTTGTTCAAAACCAGCAATTTAGCTTTTCAGAGGTGACCAAGTGTTTTTGTTAGCTACAGCTATGTATGATTTTGCAATTTGATTCGGTGCACTGTGATTGTTTTTAATTTAATGGCACACCCAAGTGGCCAAACAAAGGCATATCACTCTAGATTGGCAACAAGTTACCTGCAGCGAAACTGCCAAGACCCAGGGTTTTTATGCTTTGAATATAGTTGCCAATAAACAAAAACTTACTGGTTAAGCAAGCACTCTTCTGCCAAGCTCCAGAGCACAATCTTTTAAAAAAATGTGTTTTCATCTTTGGAACAGAAGTCTGGAAGTCGGACAACCTGGATTCTGTTTGCAGTTCTGCCATGGCCTTGTTCCATGCCTTTAGCCAAATGCCTTGAGATCTGGATTTGAGAGGTGCACTGAGAGTTCAGACAGCATCCCTTCTCTTTTGGAGTTTGTCTTATTTTAAAATAAGCTTAGAAGCTGCTACTTTTGCAGAAGTCAGAGTTTTGAACTATAACTTACTGGTACTGTTTTAGGAGTTCAGTGCTAAGCAATAGCACACTCAATTTACATAAAGCTGTAAATAACAAATGTGGTTTTTCATCCTTTTATAGAAAGCGTGACTATGAAGGGTTTCTGTGTTCTCTGCTGTTGCCTGTAGAATCTCGAACCTCTGCTTTTGCCTTGAGAGCCTTCAATGTGGAACTGGCTCAGGCAGGTATTAAAATATATTTGTGAACTCTGGAAATGTAGAATAACAGTTTCAATATTCTAAATTACACTAGCAGGTGGTGTTTTGCTGAGATTAACTTTTTGTACTGTAAGGGGCAATGAATCAATAGTGCAATACAAACCTCTAATTTTGAATGGCCCTTGGAAAGTAGCCAGCCTCCTCCAATTTGTTTTGTTTATGTACATAGCTTTTCTGACTTTCCTCTTTGTTGTGCATTTTAAAATTAAATTATAACAAACAGGTTGTGGTCCTTGATACTGTTATGTGATTGCATCTATGTCCTGGCTTCAAATGCAGTGACTGCATTGGTAAAGTGCAGCTAAATCCTATCTGTAGAAGGTCTGTCAAAAACTTGGATGATATAATCAGTTCCAGGTCTTTGTTGGCAGAAGCTAGGTGATGGAAAGGCTGCTGGGAGGGAAGTTTGTAATTAGAGAGTTGTGGGAGGGGAGTGGCTGCAGTCTCTCCCCTTTGCTAGGTGGCCAGAAACTGCCAGTGCAACCAGGAAAGTTGGTAGTGCTTGCCAGAAAGGAGCGATCCAGGAAATGTGCTGACCAAGCAAAATCATGGATCAGCTTCTGTGGGCTGTGCTTCTGGCAACCTGTGGTGCTGCCTTCCCTTGCTGCTGTTACCATTGCTTCTTTTCCTTCTGGGAAGAAAGCTAAGGTGAGGGTTGCCCAGGACTTAATCTCCATGGGTTTCAAAGTCGGGTTGTGGTGAAGATTTTTTTACTCTCTGTAGTGTTCATATACTTTATGAGGAGTAAACATATTCAGAACT